CCTGTAACACGCCACTTTTTAGAAATAAAAATGAAATAAATTTTTTATTTTTAATCCAGTAATAAGTAGATACTTAATTTCATTTTATTCGAATTGTACATTGTGCTTAGCAGGTCTGGCCCTGAAATGTTATCAGTGCAATTCTTTTGAAGACCCTAGGTGCGACAGCTTAGCAGATTCAGCCATTTCATCAAAGTATTACACTGATTGTAAATCTTTGAATGGAACCCTGACACCTTTCTGCAGAAAAACTACTACTGAAGGTACATTATCTTGCAAAATTTACTCCGATTTAGACCTTTTGTAGATTTTGGTCCCTTTTCAGTTTTATCGTTGTTTTTTTTGATAAAATTCGAAAGATTATTATTAGTTTTAAAATATTCAATTGTTTTGTTCGCGATCTATTTCAAGAACTCCAAGAATTTCAGGGACTTATAACAATAATACTAAATTAATAATTCCATGAAAAGGATGTGTGGTGTACCCTTTTACGTCAGCGGTTTACCCCTCGATGATAATTAACAACTTTTCTTTGTGTTTATAGTTTTTATGGGCAACGATTATCGTGTTGTTCGAGCATGTGGCTGGGAGCTGTGGAAGAAAATCAACGAATCAAAATGTTACAAATCTGATACAGATTTTAAGTTTCAAACCAGTTGTCAATGTTTCACCGATGGTTGTAATATAGCCCCAACACGACGTCCGTTTTCCTGCTTTCTACTCCTGATTCTTACAAGTGTCTTACTAATCGTTAAGTCAAATATAATCAGATGAAGTCAATAAAAACGTACCTACTTACTGGCGATTTTGTTTAAAAAGATTTATTTAATTACAGTTTATTTTTAAGAACACACAAACGAATAGGCAAAAGTTGCACATTGTAGATCGTTTTGCATTTTAAATATGTTATGATTCACTGGTATACAAACAATATCTATTACAAGTGTTTTCAATTTGCTGTTATCTGATGCCAATCATCTGCGTTCCAATAAGTTATTACACAAACCACTTAAACCCGCATGTTACAGGAACAAGGCACAACTTACTTTAAAACAGAAAATATTTGAACAAATAAGATTAAATTTGTAAAATTAGAACTAATCTATAAAAAGAAGGTTATCTTATAAACATATAGATACGTGAATGCCGATTTTTTAACATTTGCTGTTTCAAACTTGGTCTTCTGAATAGACGCTACTGGGTCACAGCAGCTTAATAAAAGAGTAGCGCTGCTGACGACAGCGTTTCCGATTGGCCGAATGTAACCCCCACCACTAACTGCATCAGGTATAAAACGCGGTACAATCATGTTATGCAAAGTCGCGGAGACTAGACCGATTCTTTCTATTCAACATACTTTACAACAACATCTCAATTAAACCAATCTCTATCAAGAATCAATAGCCTACAGTCCAAATTCACTAAAAGAGTTACCGATAGCAACAACCCTACAGCAACAAGAACCCTAATCTACACTCCTAAACGAATAACACTAAAATCAAAAAACAAGATCGCTTTCCCTCCTGCCAAACTTCTGGCAATCATTCCTGGTCTCCCTGAAGAATACACCAACTACTGCGAAAGATTCCTAAACTCCCTAAAATAAAAACACCCATTTATACACACACATATCTTATAAAAACCACAATCACATAATACACAAACACGTACAGCTGAAGAGGATCTTAAGTGGCCCTAGAACGTCCTGAGTTAGAGGGGTTTTAGTCGGAAAGTCCGAGGACATCTTCCTAGGAAATCCGACACTATCCAGTCGTATGGACGGCTGGGTGTCTTTTGAAAATTTCCCCTCTTCCATCAAAACATAAAAAAAGGCGGTACAATTTACATGTACATATTGAAAGGGGGGCTGTAATGTCACACGATGTTGAACACTATGTTCATTTTATTGTTAGATATGGGGGATATGCGATCGTGTGTGATCTAGTAGGCTGTATGTATTATGTCACGAAGGATGTATAAATAAATGCCCACGTGGTAATAAATCAGTCGGGCGATATCGCATGCGACGAACTAGTGCAAGGCGGATGTTTAAATCGTATCCTTTTGGGGGAAAAAGGCATAAAACCCTTTGAAATAATGCGGCTACTCACGAAATCCTTACTGTCAAACGTGCAATAAAAATAAATCGAGTAAAAAAATCAGGAAAGCGAAAGTTTGACAGCAGTTAAAAAAGCCCGTAAAATTAAGGCCACTGTACACAGGGTGATGTACGCATATGTAATTGTATTGCATTTAAATAGCTCTTTGTGAAAAGCATTTTGTATTTTATTTAAAATACTTTTCCAAATGTATTTTCTATTTGTAAAATGCAAAATACATTTTTGCCGTAAAGTTTTGCTAGTATCACCGATCAAATATATAAAATGATGAATGAAAGTTGCTCACATTAGCCATTGAAGGTATTAAAGGCTTAAAAAGGGTACAAAGTGACGTTCCATAAATGCCTTCTAATTCTTTAACTGAAGAGTCAAAAAAATCTAAATTCTTTGGAAATTAATAATTTAAAATATTAGATTGATATTGTTTTCTGGGTTCAGTGTCATGGTCCATGGAATTTTGAAGTTCCAAATTGATACCAGCACCTGTCAAATTGTATGAATTACGACAAAACAGCCTGCAAACAATATCGAATTGATAGGTATACACCAGCTGTGTAAAACTGAAAACTATAAGATATTGTGGTGTGCTAATGAATGCGTATAATCCAAAACTCTTAGAACTATCTCTGACTGACGCATAAGAGACAAACTGCTATACTTCTTAGCTTTAGCTTGACTTTTCCAATTGCTCTTCAACATTTTTTCAAACAATCTATGATGAAACTCTCAGGACGTTGCTGCTGCAAATTCCAATTTACATGTAAATAACTTTTTGCATCGCTTCCATTTACTCACTTAATTATCGCAGAATGGGAACGGAGTTTGGAAAAACAAAGATTAAAGAAAAATTGTCACCATTATAAATATCTCATCTGAATTGCTAATGGTCTTGTTATTACAGTCGGCGGACGGAGCGAGTCGAGTGTACCAGCAGCTACTAGGGCATTTTAAATTGATTTATTACACTTGGATACTGGCACAAGATTTACAGATAAACATGTACATTGTACATATATAGTATCCACAAAAGAAAGCAGTTCCCATTTGCAAACGAAATGTAAAGGGACTAATTTTATTTTACAAGTTACAAGGCTCAGATTAAACGATACCGACTTTAATAAGAATACTTATTATACAAACAAATTTTAAATTTGAAATTTAAAAAAAAGTATACGTTCTTGATCGTTAGAGCTGATGTTCAAAAAATACTGAAGACGGAAAAGTAGAAGACGTGGAAACACTGAAAGTGCAACAACCATGTTTGTAGGTGCTGAAAAACAGGACGGAATGCAGTTGATGATGTCGAAGAAGAATACGGATAAACTATTTCTTTACATATCTGTCGAGCTTAGGCAAAAAAGGTCACTACTATTTCGTTCATGTTGTCTTTGAGGAGTTATTGGAAATAGTAGGAGTACAGAAGGTGCTGTGGGTGACAATAAGGACAAGGGGAGACGGTACTGTTTGCATGTATAGGNTTTGGGATTTGTCTTTTGGAATTTTCCGAGTTAAAGACTTGTAATTTTTCTCCAAATGTACATAAATAGTAATTGTAATAATAAAATAGCTTTCTACAAATCTTTTTGTTACTGATTGAATTAAGGTAACTCCTTCTTGATGCGGTGGGAAAGAGTAACAATTTTTCTCTCATAAACGTAAATAAAAAAAAATAAAACGAAACCCCTATCAAAATTGATCAATAGGAAAATAATTTAATTTGATTTAATTTGAAAGTGTTGCTAATTCCGCAAATACGATTCCAGAGATTTGATCTAGGTATATTGAAATTTTGCTTGAGCAATTCTTTCCACAAAATTCTGTCAATGTTCCAAAGTTTTTGGCATGAGCACATTCTTTAATCTTTAAACAATTTATGCCAATATCATTACCATAAGGTCGTCAATCTTAAGACTGGATGGACAAGCATCTCCATTGTTTCCTATCCTGAGCTAATCTTCGCATTTCTCTAAAATTAGAACGTCCCACATCCTTAACTATTTGCAGTAACCGAATAGTAATCTAATCTAGTTCTACCTCTACTCCTTTTAACCCTTGTTCCTGCCTTTAACATGTCTCTGACCAACCCCTCACGTCTGAGAAGGTGTCCTACCAGCCTATCTCGCCTATTTCTTATTGACTTCCATAGAGTCCTCTGTTCACCTATTCTTTCTAATACCACATCATTTCTAACCTTCTCTATCCACGGTACCCTCATCATTCGCATGTAACATCACATTTCGAACACTTTTAACCTTTTTTTTCCTCCGCATCCACCGTCCATGTTTCGCACCCGTACAGCTCCAAACATACACCTTTAACAATCTTTTTCGAATTTCTAAATTACCCGTTCGCGAGAATAAAAGTGACTTCTTTTTATTGAAGGCGACACGACCCTGCGCTATCCTCTGCTTTATATCCCTACTACTCCTTCCATCCTCACCTATCTGACTTCCTAGGTATCTAAAATCAGCCACTTCTTCTAATTTTTCGTCTCCTATCTTTATATTCGCTCTTTCCCTACTTTTTCTT